CCGCCGCCCCGGCCACCTCCACCCCTGCCGCCGCCACGACCACCTCCGCCTCCGCTGCCGCCTCCACCACCACTCCCACCGCCGCTGTCTCCTCCCCCACTGCCGCCACTAGTCTCCCCAGCCGCGCCTCCACCCCCACCTCCTCCGCCGCCACCCCCACCCCTGCCCCCCTTGTTCCTGCGGCGCCCGCTCGAAGCAGACGCGGTCCCGACCTTCTCAGCACCAAGAAGGTCGACAGCAGCAGCAGAGGCGACAGAGGGGAGGAGGGGGGAAGGGGAACACCCCTCAAAGAACGGGGTGCGGGGGTCGCCACGAGAGGTGCCTACAGTGACGATGCTCGCCTCAGCTGCAAGCAGTTCCTTCTCGAGGAGGGCAACAGTGAGCTCAGTGGGGGAGCGAGAGAGGAAGTGGTCCCTGACTGCGCGCAGAGAGTCAGGGAGGCGGGTGACGATGTGGTAGAGAGTGATCCAGAGCGGGGGGGGGGTTGCTAGTGAGAAACTCGGCAGGCATAGCAGCGCGAAAGCGGGCCTCACTAGTCTTAAGGTGGGTGATGAGGTCTGCGACAGTGTGAAAGGAGGCTAGGTCAGGGAACAGGTAGGGGAGAGTGAGGCGGCCTAGCGTGGCAGAAGCGGGTGAGGAGTAGCGGGCAACTACAGCGGTGTAGAGGTCCTTAGCAGTCTTGCACTGGCCGAAGTGCTCGCGCTCGTCTAGCGGCAGGGAGTTGCGAATAGCAAAGCGAGCGTGCGCATCACGGGTCTGCCACTGAGAACGCAGAGTGCTGTCAGCAGACGAGTCAGGGGCAGTGGCATGGCCTAGGGCGTGGTCGTACAGTGAGATATCTTCCTTGGCAGTGAGCTGTAGGAACAGGTGCAGGTCATCTAGCCAGGTTTCGAACTTCACTGGACGGCCCTCGGCATCGAAAGCTAGAACTGGCGGACTAGCCATAGCGACAGTAGCAGTAGCAGTAGTAGCAGTAGTAACAGTAGTAGTAGGAAGCAGGCCGCTGGAAAGGTGTGCGGAGGGTCAACGGGGCCGGCGGGGCCGCTAGGCAAGGCGCGGGCGGGGTCGACTGTCCGTAGTGGCACACGAGCGGCAGTAGTAGGTAGCGTGGCAGCAGGAGCTGCAACGGTAGGTAGAAAATAAACAACAGTGAGAGCGAGTGCCTCGCGGGCGGCGGCTGCAGAAGCGCACGGGCGGCAGCGGCGCACGGGGAACGGCGGTGCACGGGCAGCGGCAGCGCACGGGCAGCGGCAGCGTAGGAGCAGCGACGGCGCACGGGCAGCGGCGGCGCACAGGCAGCGGCGGCGCTCGGGAGGCAGCAGTGCGCAAGCAGCAGCGGAAGCAGCGGCGTACGAGCGGCTGCGGGCAGCGGGGCGTGCGCGAGCAGGCGACGGGCTTATACGCACGGGCAGCAGCGCCGACAGCGCACGGGCGGCTGCAGCAGCGAGCGGTGCGCAAGCAGCAGCGGCAGCAGCGCACGGGTGGCAGCGGCGTCGGTGCACGGGCGGCAGCGGCGTCGGCGGACGGGCGGCTGCGGGCAACGGGCGTGCGGCAGCTGCGGCGGCGAGCTGCGGGCCTGCGGGGCCACGGCGGGGTGTGCGCGAGCGGGCGACGGGCGGCTGCAGCAGCGGGCGCGTCAGCGAGGCGCACAGGCAGCGCGCGGGCAGCGTGCGGGGCCGCGCGTAAAGAAAACAGCCGCGCGCGTGCGGCTAGCGGGGCGCGCGCAGCGAAATCGACCGCGCGCGGGCGGCTAGCGGGATACGCGCGCTAAAAAAAAAGTCGAGTCGCGCGCGGGCGGCTGGCGGGCTGCGCGCGCGCGGTAGGTAGGAGGCGCACGAGGGCGCACGGTAGGTAGGTAGGTATGTAGGTACCGGTGGCCCCTAAGAACGGTCCTAGCGAAGGACCTGCTCTGAAACCATGTCAGAAATAACGGACTGGAATGATGGACTAGCAAGGATTGGGAGTACAAATATGAAACCCTAATGTTGTGACCCCCCTATAGGCTAACCCACTACAGCCTACACAAATACAACATATATAATGTTTGACAACAGGGATAAAAAGGCTTTACCGAAGAGATTTGTAAACATTTGCGCCATTTGCTGAATAAAGGGTGCTTTGTTATTATAGTTAATGCTAGTATTCACAACGACCTTAAGGTTAAGGATGCAATTGAAAAAGCAGGATGCACGCTTTTATATCTACATACATATTCTCCTGATCTTTATCCTATTGAACATTGCTCGGCAAATTAAAAAAAAAATATTTAAGAAAAATAATTAAAAAACTTCGAGAAATTTAAAGATGCAATTACTGTAGCTATCTCTAAAACATTTTTGTGTTAGGTATCACATGTAATAAATATTTATTAGAACCTTATAGTAAAAACCTGCTGGGCAAATTTTAGAGGCTACATATGTAAAGTAAAGAGTAGTAGGGTCTATAAGTTTGATGAGATTGTTATAAGACTCCTTCGTTGGTAATTATTGCAAATATTGATGAGCGCCCTTCCGCTCTCCCCTGCCCTTCCGCGTCCCCCGCCTCTCCGCCCATGAGCACGGTGGGGTCGACGAGCCAACCCTTCCCCATGGAGAACACCTCTTCGCTCACCGCCGACCCCTCGCCCCCTCCGCCGCTCCTCCCCGCGCGCTGCCCATCCGCGGAATGCGCGGGCTTCGATTTCCGCCTGGTGGACTCTGCGGGGTAGTCGGACGAAGCGGGGAGCGGAAACACGAGGGAAGAGACGAGGGGACGAAAGGAAGGGCATGCGAAAGTGCAAACAGAATCGTGACATAACGAAACACGAACTAAAAACATATGCATTCGATGTGAGGAATGAACGAATGACTGGCAGGAAACTCGGTGGGATCGAGTCGAGTCTGCTTTCGAGTCGGTTTTTAAGTAAGGAACAGATGCATTCGATGTGATGAAGCGAGTGGGTGCGTTCACTAACGAGCGGATGACTTGCAGGAAGCTCGGTCAAACGAGTGGGATTGAGTCGATTCGAAAGTGATGCTACGGAACATGAAACCGTCAAGGCTGGAAGTGACTTGGAAACCTCTAGGCGTGGATGACTTGAGTCATCCCACAACAGTTTGCTAAAAGCTACTGCTGCCACGCAAAGACCATGGCTCCTGTATGGGGCTTGATTGGACTCTCAAGGTGTGAATGACTTGAGTTACACGTGATAGGTGGGAACGGCTGGCTGGACTAGGCGGCAAGACCGTTAGCTGTTGGGAGGTGAGTACACTCACTCGGCCGTCTAAGTGAACCGGCATGCCGACCGCATTGAACGGCTAGCCGTTGACTTGCGCGAGGGAGGGAACAGGGCGCTGAGGATGTACGCGCTAAAGGTTGCCCCTGTATCGAGTGTGAAAAGGTGGGAGACGTGTGAAGCGGTGAAATGCGCTCCAGAGTGCATGCCATGGTTCCGCCACGCATTTGTGGGCACTACCAAACGCCACGTGTTTGCAGGTACTACTAAACGCCGCGTATTTCAATAATGGAAAAAGGCGACGATCGCGACAGTTTGCGGGTATGATCGACCAATGAACCGACCAAAGACAGCCTTACGAACCTTCCCGCGATGCGCGGACGTTGTACTATCACTAACTAATTCAGAATGGAGCAAGCAGAAAAGCATGGTACAAGGTTTTTAGATTTCAGGTTCAGATGGGATTTAAAGTTGTGATTTGAACATAACTAGCAGCTCGAAGTGTCAACAACCATAACGGATATCGAGCTAGCTCTGTGTGAGCATATATGACGTGAAGCGTTACAATGTTCCCTATACACAACAGCATCCATGGGAACTACATGGTTCCAGCCAATCACCCTTCATTGTGACGAAATACACATACACCAGGATGGTCGTGCCAAGCCGAACCATCCGCACCACTGCTCGCGAATGTAACAACTGCAGCTAGCGAATCAGGCCCTAGCGGCGAACGTGGCAGAAGCGATGTGGCGAAACCTCGTTGGGTTGTCCCGTAAATACCACAACATCAATCGACGGCTCTATGCATCGGACAAGAGGAAGGACCTTCATATTGACGGTTCAGATCTCCAGACCTTCCTTGCGAAGCCATGGCGAGAACGAAAGAAGCACAGCACAGCCCAGTCCGGCACTGAAGCCCATCCGCTGTGTTTGGCGGAATGAACAGGCAAGCATAAGTGAGGGCAAGTGGTCTGTCTGTATGCCCAGCGCCTACCACGCCGACTGCAATTATTCCTCCCAACCACAGCGCTCCGTCTATCTCGTCAGCCTTTTTTCCCCGCTCCGTCCACCTCCGCACGCCACGGCCCGTGCTCTGCTTCTTGTTTAGGTCCCCGTCAAATATGTTGGAAGTGCGAGTCCTCTGTCTCCCCCATTGCAGCTTGCACCACAGTACCGAAAGGCTCTTGAATCTCCAACTAGCACCACCTACTAGAAGTGGCCGATCGGAACCGTGGATACCTGCTCCCAAATTATCCGTCTTTTTAGTATTGGGTTTAAGCATCGCGAGATGTGGTACACCATTCGAGACGCATTCGCGAAAGCATGGCTTTCTCAAGATGAAGATTTAGTCACTCTTTAGTCCGACCGAGAGCCCGAGTCTCTGAAACCTAAAACAGCGGACGTCCAAAACACTAGCAGCAACAGCCAATCTGGAGCGAGGCAAAGGGAACAGGATGTTTGGGCGAAGACTCTTCAAGCGGAGGAGACGGAAGTGACAGAAGTTGAGAAGAATCTGTGCGACGGGAATTCGTGCGACGGCGATCTATGCTACGAGAGTCAGGAGTGGCAGTTTCGGGACGCGGGAGACGGTTACCACACGATCAAGAACCGACAATCCGACGATTCCAATTGCCACTGGCGAGGCGAAGATGTCACCGCCGTTCTCGATGCTGATGTGTCGAATTTCAACCACCAGTGGAAGCTATACGACGTGGGTAACGGCCTCGTCGCCATCAGAAACCGCTGTACAGGAATGGTGCTGGCGCGTTGTCTCGGTACCGTGATGGCGTATAACGGGGATGAGAGGAACCCGAACCACTGGTGGAAAATAGAGGAGGTCTCGCCAACAGCCGTGTACTACGTGGGACCTTGGGAATATATTCGGAATCGCAGGAGCAGCAGGGTGCTGCAACACTCGCATCAGCAGCAACCGTTGACGAATTCCGTTAACTTTGGCAGCCCCGTCGCTACTACTAGCACCAATACTGGGCAGTCCAACTCCATCAAAGCGGATAAGTTGATCCCCGCCGACGCCACCCAGCAGTGGCGGCGGGTTGCCGTATCAGAGGGCTGCACGTGCCTGCAGATTCGCGTCTCCGGGTACCTCCTCACCACCGTAAGCACTCTTCAACTTGTCGCGCCTCAAAGCTCCTCTCTGCTCGCCATTGGCAGGGCTACGAGTGGAACCGAATCGTACAATAACGCAGCTACATCGCTGGCAGCAACAGTGGCTGTGGAAGAAGCGCAGACGAGGGACAACAAGGTGACGCGCGAGGGCAATTAGTGGCTGCTGGCGGAAATCAATGGTTTGGAGATCTTCACTCTGCAAAGCCGCCTTGGGGAAGCATTTCTGGAGAACACGTGCGGGGCGGAGGTGCGAGGAAGCTGGGGGGCAGTGGAGGCCAGCACGTGCTGCCAATGGGCCGCCATCCGCGCGGATGATCTTGCTGACGTGGCCAAGGCAACAGTGGATGACGTGGCGGGATCATTGCTTATGCTTCTTCCATTCCCCAAAAGATCCACACCAGAGCATTTCAAAGCGCCTTGGGAATCCAAGCCGACTCTTCTTGACAGCCAAGCTCCTAAATACTCCGTGTCGGAGCTTGCACTTGGTAAATCCACACCCCTGCCGCCCGTGCTGCCACTCTCGCCGCCAACCTCGCTGCCAGACGACTCGACACCTGCCACGCCGACGAAGGCAGGTAAATTCGAGCCCTCATCATCACCCGAATCAGGATCGCCCCCGCCACCACCGTTGATGCCGGAACTCCTGCCCAATTCGACTTTGAAGGCATTCGAAGGGGAATCTGAAAGGGAGCGATACTCCATCACAACTTTACCCGTGCGCCTCCCCTCGAGCTACCTCGGCAACCGAGTCACCGGCATGGCTCTTGCAACGCATGCGAGCGGCAGTGTGGAGGCGAGGGAGTTTGAAGGCGGCAGCCTGCAGCAGCAGTGGCGTGTTGTGAGTGTGGGCAGGGTGGCATCCGCACCAGCCGTGTCCTACATTTTCCTTCAGAACCGCGCCTCTGGGTTCGTTCTGAGCCACTCCTGGTGGGGCAGCCGTGTGGCGGCTAGTGACTGCCACGTGGCAGGGGAGCACAGCCAATGAGAGCTGAGAGGCGTGTGTGGAGGGTTCTGGGCGGTTAAGAACCGGGGCAGCGGGAAGGTTCTGGATCATTTCTTCGGGATAAGAATTCAGGCTTATAGCGAGGATGAGCTACAGTATCACCACCACTGGACCATCACCCCTGCAAGAACCACTGGTGGGAAGGCGCACTGGGAGCAGGAGGAGGTGGAGATCTGTGACAAGTGGTGCAAAGCGGTGCAGGGTGGTGGTGAAGGGTCTGCGAGCCTTGCTCTTGCGGTGGACCGGCTGTGGAGCTATGTGTTTAACCGGGACAGTGGGAAGGCGCTGGCTGTGTGTGAGGAGAGCGTAGATGCTGTGGATTATGAGTGGGGGGCCTTGGAACAGCAGTGAAGACGGAAAAGGGCTACCACGTGTTACAGAATCGCGCCAGCGGGCTGGTTCTGGATCATTACAATAGGCGGCGGATCGGCGCATATGACAATGATTTCGGCAGCGAGTATCACAAGTGGCAGCTGAGAGACATAGAGGGAGGCGTGTACGTTGTACTGAAGAACAAGAAAACGGGTATGGTGCTGGACCATTACTATTGGGAGCGGTTGGAAGCGGTGGAAGGCGATGAGAAGAACAAGGCGCAGCACTGGGGGGTGGTGCCTGCCAGGCAGATGGCCCGAGAGGGCATGGGTCGCAAGCCTTCTCCTGAGATCGAATCTGTGGTTGAAGATTTGTTTTCCCGCTGGGAGAGGGACAGTGTGCCGAAGGGGGAGCTGAAGGGGGTGTATCTAGTGGCGGGCGGCAAGCCTCGTCACGGCATTCGGGTGGTGAAGTCGGGGTCTAATCGCAGCCGTCAGATCCATCTGCTGCAAGTGACGATCCAAGGGCTGGCATACGCGACTGTGGCTGTTCCGACGGGAGTGGAGGTGGGGAGGGGGAGGATCTGGGCGGCGATGAGGAGGAGTGTGGAGGGGGGAGGGGAGGTGGTGGTGGTTGACTCGCTTGACTTGATGCGAGTTCCCGAGGTGGAGGGGCCGTTGGTGAACCTTGCGGTGTTTTTGGGGGTAGCTGCGAATCAAGTTTGCATGTGAGGGTGGATGGAAGGTACAGAAGGTTGGCAGTATGGGATGGGAGTGAAGTGGTTGGTTCAGTGCCCGAGGTGGAAGAGCTGCGGATCAGGTTTGCATGCGAGGGCGTGAGAGTAGGGCTGAGGGGTAGTGGAGGGTGACAGCATGGGAGGTGGTCAGATGGGAGGTGGTGGTGGTTGACTCGCTTGACTTGCTGAGGGTTCCCGAGGTGGAAGGACCATTGGTGAGGTGAACCTTGCGGTTTTTTGTGGGGGTGGCTGCGGAGTAGGTTTGCATGTGAGGGTGGGGTGGGGTTGGATGCATGGAAGGAGGCGAAAGACTTGGGAGTGAAGTGGCAGTTGATGTGCATGGAGTGAAGGTGGATGAGTCGGCTTTGAGTTGAGTCGAAAGTCACTTAGTTAAGTGGCTGGTGGCTGGTGGTGTGCATATAGTGAAGGTGGATGAGTCGAGCCAGCCTTTTTGTCTCTCTTTTTCTTGTTACGTCCATTTATGTTCTCCCTCTGCCTTATCCCTGTCCCTCTCTCCCCCCCCCCTTCCCCCCCCCCCAAACTGCTGCTCCACTTCACAATTCCTGCCTACCTTCCATCTTCCTTCCCCTCCCCCCCACTCCCCCCCCTAATATCCCTGCTGCTTATTTCTATTTTCCTCCAACATTCTTACCAACCCTCCTTTCTTCCCTCTCCCTATCTTGCGCAACTATCCCGTGCGTCATGTCGTTTGCCTGTTTTTTGCTGAGCGCGCATGTCTAGTTATGATATTGTACCGTGTATATACCGTCATCGCCCGGATATAAGACATATATGTCTTATCTCGTACACGGGCAAAAATGCTTGGGTTGTCTTGTATTTGGGACGGTTTAGGGTGTCTTATAAGTCGTATAAATGGATAAAGAACCGTTTAGAAGATACCCACTCGTTATACATTTGCCCCTAACCCCTACACTTGCTTAACCCGTACAGACAAATGGGTGTCTTATAATGAGGCTAGCCTGTTTATAAGAGACACCCACATAATAGACAACCCCTGTCTACTATTCAACACTGTCTACTATCCGGGCGATGACGGTATCGTATATATTATACAGGTCCCGTCAACACTAGAACAATGCGACCAGTTTCATGCGAAGTCAGTGTAAGGACATATTATAAAGTACATCTCACAGGCCAAAACGTCCCAGAAGCACGGTTAGGTGTTGCCTTAGGACAGAAAGGGGTTAGTGCAAGGACGACTTACACTGGCGTTGGCCTTGGGGGACAGCACAGCACAGCACATTTTTGCGGATGAGATTACATCAAAGTAAACTTCATCCCCCGCTTCGCACAATCCTTCCCTACAGTGCTAATATACATCATCGGACTTGCTCCTCCAATTTTCACAGCCTTCTTAGCCTTGCTCCGGGGCTTCACTATCATCTCGGCCAATTTCGTCTTTGTGTTGCATGTATAGAATGCCCTCGTGTCTCTGAGACCAACCACGCTGTGCTGGGGGCCAAAAATGCCGACAATTAGGTTGTTGTTACCCCACTTGAAGGCCGCAGATTGGCACAGGAGGGGAGATACAGGGAGGGGAGACATGCGTCAAAGGCTCTTTGGATCAAAACAGGGATGAGAGGGAGCTGCTTGGAGCGCTTAGCAGTGCCTGCTGACGTGGAAAAAGGACCGCAAATGGTCAAGAGAAGCAAATGATGGTCGAGTGAAGCAAATAGTAACCAGGTTCTTTTGTGATGCGCGGCCGCTAAAAAGCAGTGATGTAGGAAGCCGCGACAAGGAAGGGGTGGTAAAAAATGCAGGATCGAGTCAATGTTGAAAGAATTATAGTAAATAACATGGTAACACGAACTTAGAGAATTGTATGGAGCAAGACTGGCTGGTTTGGTCCAAGACTTCATGCCAGGCCATCCCTTCTTGCCGCCAAGTACCAACGATTTAGCATGCTGCAAGGAGCAGGGACAGGGAGCGAAAACACAATGAATAGGATTAAGTCATATGTCAATCTGATTTATTTTCCGTCGCTATTTGATTGATAGTTTGTTTGCAGCATGCCAGCACGAGTGAAAAAAAGTCGTCACACGTGGCACTGAGACGTCATGATTGTTTATACAAGGCCTCGAGGGGGGGAGGGGGGGGGGGGGGGGGGAAGAGAGGGGAGAGAGAGGGGGGGGGGGGGGGGGGGGGGGGGGGGGGGGGGGAGGGGAGGGGGAGTGCTGCCGCACTTACCGCCGCAACTGCAGGGCGGGATCTCTCCGGAAGGTCCAACGAGAAACCTGCGGGGGGGGGACAGAGCATAATAGGATCCCACATAAACCGCGCAGCGTCACACAAGATGCGACACAAAGCACAAGGTTACTGGCTATACCAACTTGGAAGTTTGCATTCAGTTGGAAACGTGAGGCAGCAGAAAAATCCGATCCGAACCAAGTGAGCAGCGGTTGACAGACTCTGCCAAAAGGGCAGCACGGGAACAGCATTGGAAGACACCACGGGCCTCGCGACTCGAGGTTCGAAGGGCAGAAGAGAGCGATGACTAGGAAAGGCGGCATACCCAGCAAAAGGAACAGCACCAGCAGACACAAGCGCCTCATGGCTCCGCGCAGAAAACCAAAGGCACGAACGGCATGTACGGCGTGCAGGAACTACTAGTCTTTGTCTTGCTTTCTTGCTTCGTCTTGCTTCGTCTTGTACGTGACGGTGTAGTGGAAGTTGGACTCCAGATAGTCCAACCAGCGGATCTGTCACAGATTGAGATTCGGTTGGGCGCGTAGGTATTGTAGTGATATGTGGTCAGTCCGTACTGTCAGGTCGGCTCCCGTAAGGTAGTATCGCCACACTTTGAACGCAGGCACGATCGCGAGCATTTCGCGGTCGTGTATCGGGTAGTTGCGTTCGGGCGGGTGAAGCTTGCGGGACTCGTACGCGATTGGCTGAAGGCCGTTCCCAAAGTCCTGCAAGAGTACTGCTCCCACGAGGATATCGCTTGTGTAGGTGACTAGCTCGAACGGGCGGTATGGATATGCGATATGCAGTATGGGCGGCGAGCATAAAAATATTCTAAGGGCCAAAAAGGCAGCGTGCTCTTTCTCCCCCCACGTATACTCAACCCCCTTCCCCAGCAGATCAGTCAGAGGGGCAGTCAACTATGGCATGTCGGGGACGAACCGTCGCACGTAGTGGACGAACCCTAGAAATCTCTACAGCGCGGTCAAGTTTGCCGACGCGAGCCATGCTTCAATTGTCGCGATCTTCTTGGGGTCCATTTCCACTCCATCGACTGAAATAATGTGCCCTAAAAACTCAAATCGGTCCTGTAAAAACTCACATTTGATGCTTTCATCAGTATTCGGTTCTCACTCAGTATTTTTAAAACTACATCAATGTCGTCGCAACCAATCACGGCCGGGTAAATGTTGCTCCCATCAAGGGTTGTTGCTAGCATTTCTTGGGTGAAGGTGAAGTTACCCCCGCATCGAATCCGAACTCGGTCCACGCGTTCCCGTATTGTCAGTGATCTGCCGTCGACCAGTCGTGCGTCAATCTCAGGTAAGCATCGGTCCAGTGTCAGTTTCAGTCTCCTTGTTGTGGCAGTGTTGATCAGGTTGTGGCTAGCTCCCCTCGTCTACGAATTTTTTTACTAAGTCGGTGTGAATCTTCCCACTGAGCAGTGTGGGGTTGTCTCCCGTTATGCCTCCTTGTTCGGCCGGGTGTGGTCAATTGCGTGAACTGGCACAATTACTCGGTGAGGGTCGGTTGGGTCGGGCGAGCGGCGTGACCTGTCAGTAGAGGGCCCGTCTGCTACTGACTCCCAGCGTTTCGCTGCTGCTTGGTCTGTATCTGCTGCTCAGCTCCCCCCCCTTTCCCTTAGCGTTTTCCGGGCATTCGCCCTTATGGTGCCCCAGCCTGTAGCACACAAAGCAGCGACCTTTGAACGATGCACGCCAATGTCTCCAGCTGCTGGTGTTGCCGTAGGACACCGGTCTCGGTTGGCGTAAGGAATCGAGTTTCTCCGTTATAACGAGAATCACATTGAATTCGGTTATATCGTGATACAGACCGCCGACATAGTGGACGATACGCTCCTCCTCGTGCTTCTACCCCACCTGCTTGCACAACGCTAAGAAGAAACCCGCTGGTGTAGTCTTGGACGGAACCGTGCTGGCACCAAATGCGGAGCCTTTGTTGCGCCGCAATTGGCTCGAATCTTGCGCGCAAACTTGCGCACCACGAATCCCACGTGCGACACTGGGCTACCTCCACGAAATAAGACGGTGTTCAGGGTCCGGTTTGTCTTTCCCGTGACGATAGAGTCTCGTAATCCTAGTGCCTATGACGTACCACCAGTCCATGGCGGGTCCTCGCAGCAGCGACATGACGTATTGAATCTTGGCCGTGTCCGCCGAAACGCAGTTGTCGTCGGGGAAGACATTCATCATAAATATCCACGCCTGAATCATCGGACCACCCCGTTGGCTCGGATTGAAGCAAGGCGGGGCGTTTCGGCTTGAGCGGCATCGGTGACGGTAGTGCCGACTCGTCGTTCGGTACCGAAATCGTGACGCATGGCTGGCTCCTGGCCGAATTCGTCTGGGGTTTAGGGTTCGTGCGAGCAAGCTAGCTATTGCGATGCTGCCATTGAGTTTCAGGCTTGTCCCAAAACGTAGGCCGACACGGCCGGGCCAGCGGTCCATGATTTGGTGAATATTGCGAGCGAAGGTTGGCGAAGCCCCGTAAGCAGTAACGGGAAAATGACGGCTGCTGCTGTACGCGATGTTGAAGAACGCGGTAAGGAATGCCGAAAAATTCCTTACAATAGTACTCTTGTTACTGCGGTCCTGGTTAGAAAAGCCTTGAACACGTCTTGAACGATTGCGGACCACGCCCTAATGGAGGAAGAGACTTCACACGAAAGTTCGGGTGCCCCACACGAAAGCAGGTTGGCGCGTTTTTTGAGCCAATGAAGGTTGGACAACGCTGAGAGGTTCCGACAGACAGGATGATGTGGCAACTTCC